ACATAGGGATCTAAATAGAAAAAATAATTCTCTTTCTCCTGACTATAGTATGAACCCATATCTATTTACTTTTCATTCATGTTTTCCATTTTTTCTGAAAATTTGTTGTTGTTTTTAATACATTTTTATATTTTCTCAATTCAAATGTCACATACTGTCACAAATAAAATTTTGGAGAATTTTTTGTTTGAGTTGCCCCACATTTGTTTCTTGTTTTGTACGCTAATTAGAACCAAGGGAAAAGAAATGCATATTGCATTATGTAGAAAACAAAATTTACATCCTGCTGCATATATAAAAACTATACAATTTTTTACTTTTCATTCATGATTTTCAATTTTACTGAAAAAGTTTGAAAATTTCATAAATATTTTCAAACTGTCAAAATTAATTTATTTTCGATAAATACTCTCAATTGTTAGGGATGGGACAAATTTATTGGTTATTCAGAGAGTGATTCGAATTGAACAACGTACAAAAGTCGGTGTTCGCTCAGACAATTTTGTATGGGGAACTAAGTAATTCCTTCATAATTAAGGGTCGAACAACGAATGAGAGAGCGAACAACGCTCGTCTGGACATGGCATAAGACAATTTCATAAAAATACAATTTCTCCACAGCTATCTAAATCCCAACCAAGTATATCTAAGGATTTTGAAGAAGAAAAAACACATTAAATAATAAATCAAATTTGTTTCTTTCATTACAGGCATTAAAAGTACTCTACAGCGACTGCTAAAAGCCAAAGAAGAATCTAATGAAATGGCCGCACAACGTTTGGCCCTCGAACGTGAACGTTTACAATTTGAGCGAACGATAGCAGAAAAATTCATAGGGATATTCGAACAGAATCAAAAAATTCAACAACAATTATTGCAACAACAGCTGCAACAAAATCAAGCCCAACAAAGGTCGACAACAACAACGCAACAAATATTTACAACAGCAACAGCCAATCATCCTGCAACAGCTACTCTACAAAATCAAGGACAACAAATAATGATACCGCCTAAATTGTTAATAACCACCATGGTACCATCGTCGGTGGCCACATCTACGTCGGCTGTCGGTACTGTTGTAAATACAAAAGTTCGAACAACAGCAGCAACAACAACAAATGTGAATAATTTACCAAATAATGTTAGTATTAGCGAACAGCCATTATTAATACCCAAAGAAGAGCCTCTCGATTAGATTTAAAGCAAAATGTCTGGAACATTTATTTACACATATATGTATGTAATATGTTAGAATTAGATTATATTATTAGTACATTAACTATTCCATATACATTCCACGAAAAACACTTCTGCAATTTAATTTTTTTTAATTACTATGAATTCTAGTCATTATTTTTTAAACTGTTAAATTTATTCCTTTTTAATTTAACTTATATAAATGCAATAAATAAAAACTGAATTATAATATTTAATATATTATAATTATAATAGCAACATCAAGTTGTGGAATACCCATTATTGTTCTGATTTTAGGATGTTTGAAATTCTCATTTCATTTAAATACCTCGGAGGCAAACAGTCCAATGTGTTCGTCCAGTAACATATTAGCGTGATGATTGTAAATAATGGAAATGGGTAAATGTCATTAATGTTCGTTGAAGACTTTATGTTCTGTGTATTCATATTTAGCTACTAATCTAGTTCCCTTTGGTTATCAAACTTATATATGAAGAGTAAGTCAAAATTTACATTGAAGATTATTACAAGGTATGATAAAAAAATTATTATTATTTAATTATCTGTAACTAACTTTGGATGAAAGATCCCTCTGTCGTAGAAACGATGCGTCAAGGTTGTTGTTGTAGCAGCCCTATTCATTTTACACAATGGGCTAAGGTGACTCGCTGGCCCCAGCTATAAGTTCCGCTTTAATTTCGATATTATTAATTTTTTAACGGAATTTTCTCATGGAATGAGCTGTCATTTGACATATCGAATTCGTGGTGAATAAAAAATAAGCAAAAAAGTACCGTTTAAATTTTCCAACTAGATTGTCTGTAATTTGTGACACCATTTTTTTTTGGAAGCATAACAACCTGTTATCGCTGAATACCATAACATAGTCGCCATATAAATGTTGCGATTGACTTAAGGGAACACCCCCCCCCCCCCATTCTCGATTTTAATTTTTCAAGATTTTCAATGGGCTTGTTAAGGTTTGTAACTTTACACATATATAATTGAAGATTTAAAATAGAAGAAAAATAATTTACAAAAAATTTTTGTTGTTGTTTTGTTGTTGTTTTTTGTAATTAAAGAAAAGTCCTTAATTTTGATGGCGGGCACGATAACCCCTCACTGGAACATCGGAATCAGAAAATTCCAACGGTGTTAGAAAGATTACATGTCTGGCTCTCGTATGAACTAGGATTATTGACTTCGCTCTAAAATTAACAAAATGGAGGACCTTTGAAAAAATATTTTTGGAAAATCGCCGATTTTTTACCAAAAACCAAGTTAAAAAATAAGGAAGATCTTCACCGATTGGCTTTATCCTAGTTCATACGATAGCTATACACTCACAGAGAAACGTATAAAAAATTGAAATCGATTGGGTTATCAGTTTTTGAGTGCCCGCCATTCGCAAAAAAATGTTTAGAGAAAAACGCGTTTAAAGTTTGAGAAGCCCTTCAGCCGTCACTTGATGCTGACACAATAATACGGCTATATCTTCAAGAGTTCTTGAGATTTTCATTTGAAATTTTGTAGGCACATTCTATAACTAGTGTAGATTCGAATTATATCAACAAAATTTTTGACCCCGAGAATGGGGGGTCCCCTTAAGGTATTTTGAATGCACCCCATGTGGTGGACGGTATAAATTTTTCGGCCAGGCCAAACTTTTTTTAATTTAAGGTAAATACATACATATATAAATTTTGATTTTGAGTAAAATACTTGGGGAAAAATTAAATTTCTAGTTATACGAAGTGTCATCTATATTTGAAACTATAATATTCACGGTAAATAAAAAAGCAACTCTACCAAAAATGTTATTTCTAAGACAACCACCACCACACTAAAATTGCAAATGATTGGGTTTTTGTATTTTTCAGTAGATGGCGCGATGTTAGGACATTAGAGAGTCAAAAATTTCTAATCGATGGGATATGAGCAAAGAAGTCAAACGATTAAGCGCTATTATAAATTGGAAATATATATGGAATATCATTTTGAGTCCAGATCATTGATTTTATTTAAATTTCACATAAATTGTACCTTTTGAAACAATTGTCCGATTCGTCTGAAAAAATCGGCATTATGAACTGAAAATATGGTTCAAAAATTTTGCGTTCCGCAACTCTATATTTATGATTAATATTTCAGACGAATCGGAGAGTTTTTCAAAATATAAAATTTATTAGTGTTCGCAAATCAATTTTTTTCTCAGCAAGGATCGGGTAAAAGTAAAAAAGGCCGTTGAAAATATATGAATATAGATTTCTTGTCAAATCTTTTGAGCGAAATTTTTGTAGAATATTTTGAGGTCAAAACAATCTCGTCTTGTGGTATTTAGTTTTCAGTTAAGAAAACAAGGAAGAAAACTGAGCACAAGGGCTCAACATGGAAGGATGATAAGTTTTGCAAATATATTCCTCATTTGTTTTGACTGACGGCATGTGATCTCAATAATAGCCTGCAATAACCGCATACAGAGATATAAAGGATTTTCTTTATGTCCTTTAGAGTTATCAGCAAAAAATTAATCACGCCATAACTTAAAAATCTATGACCTATGGCGAATTTGTCCTTCGGGGACTTCAATATACTCACCAAGGGCTTTCATATTCATTTACCCTTCCTCCAAATAATTATTTGTTTAAAAAAAAAAAAAAAAAACAGTAAGGAAAGTAGTAAAGTCGGGCTGGGCCGACTATAGGATACCCTTCACCACTTTGGGTATATTCCACATATGTATCCTACCAATTTCATGTCAATATTCCTTCGAGGAAAATTTAAAATATGCCAACTTTATATATAAGTGAACCGACTAACCCCAATCCATACATATGCCTTTCTACAACCTATGCTAAATTTCACTTCATTCGGACAGATACTTTGATACTCCACTAACATTAAATCGGGCGAAAATATATATGGGTGCTATATGTAAATCTGAACCCATTTTCACGAAACCTAACACATCATTCTAGACTTTATTAAATACGCTATGCCAAATCGAAAGATATATAGGGACTTTGATGAACAACTTACATTAAATCGGACGAAACTTTATATGAGAGCTATATCTAAAACTGTACCGATTTTCACGAAACTTTACACACATCATACTGCACACAATTTAGTACGCTATGCTAAATTTCGTCCAAATCGAAAGATATATAGGGACTTTGATGAACCATTCACATTAAATTGGACGAAAATATATATCTAAATCTGGACCGATTTCAGGAAGCCTAACACACATCATTCTAGACCTAATTAAGTACGCTTTGTCAAATTTCGTGCAAATCGAAAGATATATAGGGACTTTTGTACACCATTTACATTAAATCGGACGAAAATATATATGGGAGCTATATCTAAATCTGGACCGATTTTCAGGACAACTTAACACACATCATTGTAGACCTAATTCAGTACGCTGTGCCAAATTTCGTGCAAATCGAAAGATATATAGGGTCTATGGGGAGCTATATCTAAATCTGAACCGATTTTTCAATAGGGTTCGTCCATGGGCCAAACAAATGAGCTGTGCCAAATTTCATCCAATTCGGATCATAAATGCCTGTACTTTGTTTACAATTTAACATGGGCAGATGGACGGACATGCATAAATCGACTCAAAAAGTGATTCTATGCATATTCCCAAAAGGAACCGTGGGTCTATCTCGACTATATTTGCCTGTTACAAACATATGCACAAAGACATAATACCCTGTACCACAGTGTGGTCAAGGGTTTAATAATGGATACTTTTTTAACACACCTCATGCATTTATAAAAATATAAACAAACTAAATTTGATATTCAACATTAGGATGTGTACGAATATATTTCAAAGATTTCAAAATGGCACGTGGAATTGGTGGTGGTGTTGGCAAATGTTTACCAACCAGTTGGAAACCATTTCTATCAGCAGTATAGGAAACTTGTAAAAGCTCTCTCTCGGGAGTATAATAAGCATAACCGCCGGAGGCATATTGGCCACCAATACCATTTTCTATGGCACTGATGCCATTCGATGTTTCATAGTTATATTCGTAATTACCCTCCGATCCAATTTCGTTGTCATATTTTGTTCGTTGTCCTTTAATAGGATAAAAAGAAAACAAAAATACAACTCACAAATTTGTTAATTTTTAGTGATGAGTTCGGATGAGGATCTACACCAATATTATTGAAATATATTCTGTGTGTCGAATATGAGATTATAGCATTGAATTTTATAGCAAATAACCAATCAATCATTTCATAGCAAAAATAAATCAATCAGTTTTTTGGCATTAAAATTTAACATAATTTAGCATATCATAAAATAAAAAAAATGTTTTCATTCATGCGGGCTAGTGTGAATTAAGTGATATCATATTCACCATTGACATCGGCATCTTTGCCATTTAGAATTTGATTTATCACCGGCTTGCTGCTCATTTAACTATCCAAGTTCATTTGCCTCATATTTTTTTTTTGGTGTGTGAATGATGTCGGGGATTGTCTTTCCGAATCCATATGATATTTATTGCTACCATTGATGGACCGTTGGATGATTCGCTTTCTATTTTGAGCCGTGGGCTAAAATACCTACTGATACTGTGAATTCAAGGTTATTTGAATCATTTAATAAAATGATATCGATCGATTGCTCCAATTTGTTGTGTGATAACACTTAATTAGCATTTATATTTGTTTTAGGCTGGTATTTGAATTTAAATGTGATACAACCACATATACAAATAAAAAATAATATTTTTGTATGAATATGGTGTTTTAGTAACGTGTAAAATGTAACCATGGGTCTATCTCGTTTATTTTTGCCGCTGCCAAAGATATGCTTACTTACGTACTTATCTGGTTTGTGACAGAACGTTTGTTCTATAAGCCGAGCTTAAAAAAGATTACCAGGCGCGTCGGTCTTGTCCGCAGTTCTTCCAATTTAAAATACCATGTTTCGAAATGTTGTCTTTTACTTGATCTTTCCATCGAATTCGTGGCCTTAGCCTTCTGCGTTAACCATCAGTTGGCTCGCTTTTATACGTAGCCGCTACAGCTCGATATGTCAATGTCTAAGTTAGAGAAAAGATAGTACATCTCATGGTTTATTCTTTCGATGGCGATATTCATCGTCGACGCAGATCGGCCTATAGTCTACCGGAGAATTTTTCTCTTAAACACTCCAAGAGTTGACCCATCTGCTTTCGCAAGAATCCATGCTTCAGATCCATACAAGCGTCTTGTAGAGTGTGAGTTTGGTCTGGCGAGAGGTGGCCTTGCTTTTCAGTTACATACTCAGACCACTGTCACTTTGTCTGAATCCTCGTTCGGTTTTGAAGGGCTCTGAAAGGTCCTTTCCGACTTTATCTGCTGTTAAAGTTATCCTGCATAGCCTATTCATTTTGCAGGAATGCCAAACGCAGACATGGCTTTTTCGCTTCAAATTAAATTTACAGAGGTATCAGAAGGAGAGGACCGACGGGTACCACCTTCGGATTTGATATAGGCTTGGTAAAGATCAGTCATCAGACATTACATATATATATATAAAGGGCACCAGTTCCCGTGCGGGGATGAGTAGATATGGCCTAGAATGAACAACTATTCGGAATACTACATGAACATTTAAGGGAACCCCACCCATTCTCGATTCTAATTTTTCAAGATTTTTAATGGGCTGGTAAATCAATACCAATGATTATTAAGGTTTGTAACTTTGCACATATATATTTGAAGATTTAAATGTGAAGAAAAATAATTTAAAAACATTTTTGTTATTGTTTTGTTATTGTTTTTTGTAATTAAAGAAAAGTCCTTATTTTTGATGGCGGGCATGATAACTCCTCGCTAAAACATCGAAATCCGAAAATTCCAACGGTGTTAGAAAGAGTACATGTCTGGCTCTCGTATGAACTAGGATTATTGACTTCGCTCTAAAACTAACAAAATGGTGGACCTTTGAAAAAATATTTTTGGAAAATCGCCGATTTTTGAGCAAAAACCAAGTTAAAAAATAAGGAAGATCTTCACCGTTTGGCTTTATCCTAGTTCATACGATAGCTATACACTCACAGAGAAACGTGTAAAATTTTGGAATCGATTGGGTTATTAGTTTTTGAGTTATCGTGCCCGCCATTCACAAAAGAGAAAACCCCGTTTAAAGTTTAAGAAGCCTATTAGTCGTCATTAGAGTTCTTGAGATTTTCACTTGAAATTTTGTAGGGACATTCTTGAATTAGTGTAGATTCAAATTAAATCAACAAAATTTTTGACCCCGAGAATGGGGGGGGGGTCCCCTTAAGATAGAGCTTTGGAGTTTTGCATAAACGTTGCTACAACTCCTATGATGTTTGGTATTGATGTGATATATCGGTCAACGTCAGATCCTCTCATATAACGGTACCGCCCCATTTTCGTTATTGTGAAGGTCCTAACTGGGGTTCTGTTATATACAAAACCAGTAAGGAAAGTAGTAAAGTCGGACGGGGCCGACTATATGATACCCTTCACCACTATGGGTATATTAAACAGGACTATTAACATGAAATTGGATGAAATAAAATACGTGATATTTATCTAAATGTGAATCTACCTAGATCTATCCATAAAGTATGTAAATCGACTTCAAACAAATATAAATAGGTCATCCGTTGGGCTATGTCTGTACATCTAGAAAACGCAACTACGTAATTCTATGCTCAATTTTGTAAGTTGTGCAAAATTTGATGTCAATCGTGCAAATCGAAAGATATATAGGGACTTTGGGGCACCATTTACATGAAATCGGACGAAACTATATATGGGAGCTATATCTAAATCTAGACCGATTTTCTGGAAACTTGGCAGACATCACTCTAGGCTTAATTCAGTACGTTATGCCAAATTTCGTGCAAATCGAAGGATATATAGGGACTTTGGTGCACCATTTACATGAAATCGGACGAAACTATATATGGGAGCTATATCTTAATCTGGACCGATTTTCACGAAACTTAACACACACCATTCTAGACTCAATTCAGTACGTCATGCCAAATTTCGTGCAAATCGAAAGATATAAAGCGACTTTGGTGCACCATTTACATGAAATCGGACGAAACTGTATATGGGAGCTATATCTAAATCTGGGCCGATTTACCCGAAACTTGGCAGACATCATTCTAGGCTTAATTCAGTACGTTATGCCAAATTTCGTGCAAATTGAAAGATATATAGGGACTTTGGGGCACCATTAACATGAAATCAAAATATATATAGGACTTTGGTGCACCATTTACATGAAATCGGACGAAACTATATATGGGAGCTATATCTTAATCTGAACCGATTTTCACGAAACTTGGCAGAAATAATTCAAGGCCCAAGCCAGTACGTTATGCCAAATTTGGTGCAAATCGAAAGATATATAGGGATTTTGGTGCACCTATGGGAGCTATATCTAAATCTGAACCGATTTTCACGAAACTTGGCAGACATTATTCTAGACCTAAATGAGCAGGCTGTACCAAATTTCGCGCAAATCGAAAGATATATAGGGACCGTTCACATTAAATCGGTTAAATATATATATGGGAGCTATATCTAAATCTGAACCGATTTTTCCCAATTTCAATAGGGTTCGTCCTTGGGCCGAGATGCCAAATTTCATCTAATTCGGATCATAAATGCGACTGTACTTTGTTTACAATTTAACATGGACAGACAGATGGACGGACGGACAGACGGACATGCATAAATCGACTCAGAAAGTGATTCTATGCATATTCTCAAAAGGAACCATGGGTCTAACTCGATTATTTTTGCCTGTTACAAACATATGCACAAAGACATAATACCCTGTACCACAGTGTGGTGAAGGGTATAAAAATGTCCTATTTTTTACTACAAACCGTTTTAGAAAAAAAATAGAATAATAATCGGTTATATCTTCATGAGTTGTTGAGATTTGCACTTGAAATTTTAAAGGCTATTCTTAAATTAGTGTAGACTCGAATTAAATAAAATAATTCAAATTTTTGAAACAGTGAATGACTATTTAATATAAAAAACTATTTTAATAAAAAATGGGGTTATATGGGGTCTGCCTCTAAAAGTGGGTGAATATTAATAATTTTTTGTAGGGAAATTTGTTATCATATACGACTACAAAATACCAAATTACAGTGAATTCGGTTGAAAACGCGCTCAAGATCCTCAAAATACCGGGGGGTGCACTTATATGGGGGCTACCAGAAAAAAAATACCAATGTGTATAATTTTTAGTGGAGATATTTGATACCTAATTAGAACCCAATGTACCAAATTTCAGCAAATTCGGTTGAAAAACGCGCTCAAGAAACCCAAAATATCGAAAATTGGGGGGTACCTTTATATGGGAGCTTTGCCCAAACATAGACCCATATAGCTCATCGTCGAACTTGACCTGCCTGCACACAAAAGACGACATAACATAATACCCTCTATGCAAAATTTTGGAGATCTATCTCAATTCGTTTAGACGCTAGAGTGATTTCAACAGACAGGGTCGGAAATAATCATTTCGATGCGTTACAAACGGAAAAACAAAACTAATATTCCCTTCATACTATGTGCCAAATTTCATGCAAATCGAAAGGTATATAGGGACTTTGGTGCACCATTTACATAAAATTGGACAAAACTATATATAAGAGCTATATCTAAATCTGAACCGATTTTCTCGAAACTTAGCACACATCATTTTGGACCTAATTCAGTACTCTATGCCAAATTTCGTGCAAATCGAATGATATATAGGGACTTTGGTGCACCATTTACCTTAAATCGGAAGAAACTATATATGGGAGCTATATCTAAATCTTGGCACACATCACTCTGGACTTAATTCAGTACTCCATGCCAAATTTCGTGCAAATTGAATGATATATAGGGACTTAGGCGCCCCATTTACTTTAAATCGGACGAAAATATATATATGGGAGGTATATCTAAATCTGAACCGATTTTTCCCAATTTCAATAGTGTTCGTCCTTGGGCCAGATAAGTGACTTGTGCCAAATTTCATTCAAATCGGATCATAAATGCGACCGGTACTTTGTTTACAATTTAACATCTACAGACGGACCGACGGGCATGCATAAATCGATTCAGAAAGTGATTCTATGCATATTCTCAAAAGGAACCATGTGTCAATCTCGTTTCCTTTTGCCTGTTACAAACATATGCATAACATAATACCCTTTACCACAGTGTGGTGAAGGTTATAATAAAAATTTGTGACCATCGGAAAATTGGCCGATCATCATCTAAACAGATGTTCTAAGTATTAGGTCAGATCCCGTTCATCGTGTAAAATATTTAAAGTTCTGTATGTAATAATGGCCTCTAAAGCGACCACAAAATCTGACAAAAATAAAGTTTCCGGTTTATTGCACCACATAGATATAATCTCAACATTACCGAAAATTATAGTCATCGTCCTTAACCATATCCGGAACTTCATGTACAATTTCAAAGCGATCAGCACGACATTTCCGTCTTCTAGTGGGGTAATAGTAATGCTAAACCATAGCATAACACATAGTCTGGGCCCATTTGACCCAGTAAATATTCACCGATCTTCATGAACAGTCATGATTATTCTTGCACAAACACCTGTAAAATTTCGTGATGTTCGGGTCAACAGACGAAAATAAAGTTTTTGATCCATTTCATCTCTTTAGCTAGAACCCATTCTGCATGCAAAATTTCGTGGCGAGTAGTCCATAATTGTGGCCTGGACGGACGGACACACATGTCGAGATCGGCAAAGCTAGTGGAAATATAACGATCGGTATACTTAAAGTTGGGTCTAGGACCAATATTTTGCGGTGTTACAAACTCTTGGGGTTGCACAAAGCTATAATACTCTGATAACATAGTTGTGTATGGTATAATTATGTCAGAAAGTCTAAGGTTTTTTCATTTATAAAATAAAATACTAAGGGGACCCGCACCCGTTATCGATTTCAAATTTCCAAGAGTTACACTCTGGTAAATTAGCATATATTAAAGACTAAGAGCTTTGCATACATGTATTTGAAGACTTAACCTTAAGGAGGATAAATACAAAATAACGTTCGTTGTCTAATAATGATATTTACCGCCCAATTCTTTCAAGATTCAAAGATTCTCAAATTTACCCATATTTTTAAATAATGCATATATCATTAGCCATTGCCGCTTCATGCAATGAAATAAATTTATTGTAGAAGACTAGTTTTTTTTGCAATGTCACCGATTTATGTATTAAGAATCTGAGAAACGTGTTTTCACTGGTTTCACTTTCTATTAAGCATTGTGCAAAAATCACATAACCGGCGTGACTCCTTCTCTATAATATCTAAAGAATATTTTTATTCAAATGGGATACCGCTTTTTTGTTTAAGCTAACACAGTTTCACTATAATTAATTACCACATATAACTAAATACACTCTAACAGGTGCCAGAACAGATATAAGTAAGCTTGACTCGAAGTAAATATTTCACCAGAATTTTTTATAATCCAAAATTTATTTGAAATCTATTAGTGTTTGCAGGTATACGGGTTTCTAAAAAAGGATTCAATAAAAATGGGAAATTACGATGAAAATATGCGAATATCAAGTTTTTGTCTTTGGGGACCCTATCTAAAATCATATGAGCTACATTTTAGTAGATTTATTTAACTAAATTTAGGTGAACATCCGTTCACCTAAATGTAAATTGTACGAAATAGTACGAATTTCAATGATTACTCTAATCCAAAAATCAAAAGTATTTTTTTTCCACATTTTCTAATTTCAGTTCCATCCAGACTGTATCAAATAGTACCACATAGTAGTTTTCGCACACATAGTAGTTTTCGCACTCACAAGTATGCATTTATCAACCTATCTGAATCCTTTACAGATTTCGGGAGTCCATCCCTCTTCGTTCAACTAAATCAAAATAGAACTAATATTAGTACCATATGTTACTTTTTGTACATATAGGAAGGAATTTCCATTTATATTTCATCACTACCATCCAACAGTAATTTTAATCTAATTTCAGCTCGATCTAATCTAAATTGTACCAAGTTTAGTAACATTTAGTACACATTATTACGAATTGTCAAAACTTCGGCCATATGTCAATTCGAAATTCAAACAGTATTTTTAATCCCAAATTTAAGAATTCAAGCCCTATTAGTTCATTGAACAGTATTTGATACCATTTAGTACTTTTTGTTTCCATAAGTACCATTAAGTACACATCATCAATTATACAGTCATTTTAATTCTTAATTTCAAGATTTCAACTATATATGTTAAGCTATATCCACCTTGTACCAAATTTAGTACTTTTCGTACCCATAGGTACGAATTTTAAAAACTACCCCTATATCTCACTTTTACATTCCAAGAGTAATCACCATTTCAAATTTTCGGATCGCAGACCGTTCATACAAATCTAAATTGTACCGTATTTAGAAAAGTTTTGTACTTTTACAGTACAGTCATTTTCATTTAAAAATTTAGGATTCTATCTCTATCCAATATTGTACAAAATATAGTACCATTTAGTACACATAAGTACGAATTTGCAATCTATAGTAATAAAGAGTAAAGTGATTGACTGACTGACTGATTTAACGATTTATCAACGCCCAGACAAAACGGCTGAAGCTAAAATCTTGAAATTTTGGGTGGGGATCACTCTTGTCCCAAATGTGGTTTTTGGAAATTCGTACTAGAACGGTACGAAAAGTACTAGAAAGTACTAATCTATACTAATAAAAGAGTAACGATTACTGGTTTAACGATTCACCAACGCCCAGACGAAACGGCTGAAGCTAGAATCTTGAAATTTTGGGTGAGGGTCACTGTTGGTCCAAATGGGACAGATAAGGCTGGGTTTTTGGAAATTCGTACTAGAACGGTACGAAAAGTACTAAATGTGATACCATTTGTATTTGGCGAACCGGTGGAGCTAGAACTCTGAAATTTGGGTTGGTGGTCGTTAATTGAGTGTGGGATAGATGAACTAAAGGGTTTTTGGAAATTCGAACTATAACTATCCGAAAAGTACGAAAATGTACTAAATTTGGTACAATTTCGTAGCTTGTGAATGGAGTGAGCTAAAAACTTGAAATTTGAAATGTATATTAACTTTGAGAAGTAGAGTCGATACGAGAAGAGTTTGGAAAGCGTGTACTCATGTGTACGAAAACTACTATATGGTACTATATTTGGTTCAAATTTGATTGGAGGTACAAATCGAGCTGGAATCCTGAAAATTGAAATTAACATTACCGTCGGAGTGTAGGATTGGGATATGTACGTAGTTTTGGAAATTTTTTACTTATGTGTACAAAAAGTACTAAATCGAACTATAATTGTACAATTTGGATTTGGGTGAACCGATAGAGCTGGAACAATGAAGTTTGGAGTTAGGATCATTGTAGGGATGTAGGATTAAGGTCAGGATTCAGTTTAAGAAAATTATACATATGGGTACTAAATGGTACTAAATTTCGTACAATTAGAATTTTAGGTGAACCAATAGAGCTAGAATCATGAAATTTGGAGTCAGGATAACTGTTGAGGTGTAAAATTGAAATATGTAGGAAGTTTTAGAAATTTGTACTAATGTGTACTAAATTTGGTACAATTTAAATTGTGGGTTAACCGATAAAGTTGAAATCATGAAATATTGATTTAGGATCACTGTGGAGGTGTAGGATTGCAGTATGTAGGATGATTTGGAAATTGGTACTAATGTATACTAAATTTGGTACAATTTGAATTGTGGGTGAACTGATAGTATTACAAGAGCACAAATGGTAAAAAATGACACCAAATTTAATACAGAGGTAGATTTCTGTTGCGGTCGGAATGGGTGTGTAGGGTTGAGATTTAGAGGTAGATTTGAGAACATACTATGGCAGAACATACGTACTAAATGGTTCTAAAATGTTAATAATGGTCGATATAGGGTTTAAATACATCCCACATTCTTCACGAACTTTAGCGTTACCAGCAAACAAATTCGTCACGTCATAACTCAAAAACTTGAAATTATACTTCCCGAGGCCATGTATACCCACACGGATTTTTCCCAACCTCCAGACCGCGACCCCGCCACAGTGTCATTAAGGGTTATCGGCAGAATTTCTTTTAAATGAATTTTCACATATAAATAAATAAATCCATCTCGATTGTTATGAATGCGGTAGTCAAGCACTTATATTTTTTCAACTTTTCTATATATAGATCTCGCACGAGTGTCGACGATTTATTTATTATATACCGGATAATTATTATTTAGAATAATTCTCCAAAATTCTTTCTGGTTTTTAAAAATTATGCCATTATTGAGACAATTGTTTAACATTTAGATTATAATAAAAATTTTGATTGTGCAAATTCTCTAACCGGATTAAAAATTAATAGAACCAATGGTTATAGAATTATTTATGCTCAGTTGCAATTTTGTTGTAGCCTCACCAAAAATTCTATAAAAATCAAAGAGCATTTTATTCAAAGATGCAGAACATTTTGTTGCTTGAAAGGAATTTCATTTCATTTTGCAACGATAAAAAGGAAAAGAAATAAGACTGCATACAAAATGCATAAATTCGTAAGTAGTTCTCTTGAAATGCATCTTAACCACTGAATTAATATTTCAAAAATATTGTAACGAAATTTTCAGTTTGTTTTGGCTGTTATTGTTGTTGCTGTAGCTGTCAGTGTTGCGTCTGCCGACAGTGAAGATGCTCATGCCGAAATTGTACGCTTAGTCAATGATATTCAAAAGGATGGCAAATACAGTTACAACTATGAAACATCAAATGGTATAACGGTACAGGAAGAGGGCATAGCTGGACAAGCTGTCAAAGGTGGTTTTGCCTACCAATCACCAGAACATGAGTTGATTCAGGTTTCTTATACAGCCGATGCCAGTGGTTTCCAACCGATTGGCAGTCATTTGCCAACACCACCACCAATACCATTGGCCATTTTAAAATCATTGGAATATTCTCGCACTCATCATTATCAACCGGAGTATTAAGAGGATGGGAGGGAGAGAGTCCAAAAATGTGCTATAGTTAGTGAGATTTTCAAATTGAAAATTCCTAAGTGCCAAAATGGAATTACTAGTTATAATGGAAAAATAAAAAAAAATCAAATGATTCGAAGTTGTACTGAGTATAACTTGGACTGTGAAAATGAACAAATTTAATAAATAACACTGTGTAACAAGACTTTTCTAGGGTTGGAAATTCCTTATCGTGATGAAAGTCCATGGCGAGTAAATTAAAAGTTCAGAACGACAAAATCGCCGTAGATCAAATCAAGCCGGTAGTATAAACGCTGTTGCAAACATACATTTACTGTGAACATATTTTATTTCGTGAAAAATTTCATAATTCAAAGACATCTGTTGGGGTTTGAAAAAATATTTTTCTGCTAGAAAAAAATTAGATTACTATAGGGTTTAACATAAGATATTTTTTTTTAAATCCAGGTTACTATTGGGCTCCACAAAACAATATTTTTTTAAAAACCCCTCCTCTATTGTGCCCTTTTAATTTTTTTCTTTAACCAGTGAGCGGAGGAAGGAAAGTTGGACGGGCGATTAGAGGTGAACATCACCATTTCCTTACACTGACATATTTTCCAAATAGTACTAATATTCAGTACAGCCCTCGTAATTACTTCACCGTGGGCTGTGTTGTGCTGTTCTGCTTACAATTGTGGCCTATAGATCGACTCAAAAGAAAAACAAAAAAAAAAAAAAATAAATAAAATAAAATTTTCGGTCCAAAATTATAATCTGATCATCACCGAAAATTATAGGTGTTGTTCTTGACCATAACTGGAACCTCATGGAAAATTTCAAAGCGATCAACGCTATATTTCCGCCCTCTAGTGTATTAATGGGTTACTAAAATAATATCTGAGTACGTAAGCACCTGTAAATATTTAAGTCTATCTCCCACATCCGAGTACATACGATTATATAATTGATATGCTTATTCTTTGGCTCTATCTCTTTCTACATGTAAAATTTCGCGATGTTAGAGCCATTATTGTGACCACAGGAGCGACCAGAAAAACAAACGATAATTAAGTATTTGGTCCATTTCATGCCTTAAATATTAATAGATCTTTACCAAAAATAGGGGTTTTCATTGGCCTGAACCCATCCTACCTGCAAAATATCGTGAAGATTGGTCCATAACTGTGGTCTGTATAGTGTTTACAAATTAGATGGACTCAGCTAGTCGAGAAATGACTATCGGTATAATTAAATTTGGGTCTAGGACCAATATTTCGCGGCGTTACAAACTATTTGCTGCACAAAGCTATAATACCCTGACGATGTACTCTGTAGGGCAATAAACGCCTTTGCTCGTTCCATTAAAAAAATATGTTTTCCAAAATCCAAATATTTTTGGGCCTTGGAAAAATACACTACTAGGCTGGGTACTGAAAAATTATTCTATAAAAAATCCACACTCTTTTAGGCCCTGGATAAAATATTCTTTTCCAGGACCTTTGTCGGGTCCTGGAAAAATATTCTTTAAAAATTCAAGCCCTTTTTGGATCATGGAAAAAAATATATATATTTTTTTAAAATCGCACCTGTGTTAATTCCTTGAAATATTCCTTAAAAATCCACATCCATTTTGGGTCCTGGAAAGAATATTATTTGAAAAAATTACATCTTTTTTGGGTCTTGAAAATAATAATCGTTAAAAAGTTCACACCTTTTTTTTGGCCTTGGATAAAATATTTTTTTAAAAAACCCTATCTTATTTTTGGTCGTGATAAAAATATTCTTAAAAATCCACGCCGGTTCTGAAAAAAATATTTTTTCTGGGTCTTTTTTCCAAAATCCAAATATTTTTGGACCTTGGAAAACTACACGACTATTTTACACGTATATTTTTCCATTATAACTAGTAATTCCATTTTGGCACTTAGGAATTTTCAATTTGAAAATCTCACTAACTATAGCACATTTTTGGACTCTCTCCCTCCCATCCTCTTAATACTCCGGTTGATAATGATGAGTGCGAGAATATTCCAATGATTTTAAAATGGCCAATGGTATTGGTGGTGGTGTTGGCAAATGACTGCCAATCGGTTGGAAACCACTGGCATCGGCTGTATAAGAAACCTGAATCAACTCATGTTCTGGTGATTGGTAGGCAAAACCACCTTTGACAGCTTGTCCAGCTATGCCCTCTTCCTGTACCGTTATACCATTTGATGTTTCATAGTTGTAACTGTATTTGCCATCCTTTTGAATATCATTGACTAAGCGTACAATTTCGGCATGAGCATCTTCACTGTCGGCAGACGCAACACTGACAGCTACAGCAACAACAATAACAGCCAAAACAAACTGAAAATTTCGTTACAATATTTTTGAAATATTAATTCAGTGGTTAAGATGCATTTCAAGAGAACTACTTACGAATTTATGCATTTTGTATGCAGTCTTATTTCTTTTCCTTTTTATCGTTGCAAAATGAAATGAAATTCCTTTCAAGCAACAAAATGTTCTGCATCTTTGAATAAAATGCTCTTTGATTTTTATAGAATTTTTGGTGAGGCTACAACAAAATTGCAACTGAGCATAAATAATTCTATAACCATTGGTTCTATTAATTTTTAATCCGGTTAGAGAATTTGCACAATCAAAATTTTTATTATAATCTAAATGTTAAACAATTGTCTCAATAATGGCATAATTTTTAAAAACCAGAAAGAATTTTGGAGAATTATTCTAAATAATAATTATCCGGTATATAATAAATAAATCGTCGACACTCGTGCGAGATCTATATATAGAAAAGTTGAAAAAATATAAGTGCTTGACTACCGCATTCATAACAATCGAGATGGATTTATTTATTTATATGTGAAAATTCATTTAAAAGAAATTCTGCCGATAACCCTTAATGACACTGTGGCGGGGTCGCGGTCTGGAGGTTGGGAAAAATCCGTGTGGGTATACATGGCCTCGGAAAGTATAATTTCAAGTTTTTGAGTTATGACGTGACGAATTTGTTTGCTGGTAACGCTAAAGTTCGTGAAGAATGTGGGATGTATTTAAACCCTATATCGACCATTATTAACATTTTAGAACCATTTAGTACGTATGTCAAAGGTGGTTTTGCCTACCAATCACCAGAACATGAGTTGATTCAGGTTTCTTATACAGCCGATGCCAGTGGTTTCCAACCGATTGGCAGTCATTTGCCAACACCACCACCAATACCATTGGCCATTTTAAAATCATTGGAATATTCTCGCACTCATCATTATCAACCGGAGTATTAAGAGGATGGGAGGGAGAGAGTCCAAAAATGTGCTATAGTTAGTGAGATTTTCAAATTGAAAATTCCTAAGTGCCAAAATGGAATTACTAGTTATAATGGAAAAATAAAAAAAAATCAAATGATTCGAAGTTGTACTGAGTATAACTTGGACTGTGAAAATGAACAAATTTAATAAATAACACTGTGTAACAAGACTTTTCTAGGGTTGGAAATTCCTTATCGTGATGAAAGTCCATGGCGAGTAAATTAAAAGTTCAGAACGACAAAATCGCCGTAGATCAAATCAAGCCGGTAGTATAAACGCTGTTGCAAACATACATTTACTGTGAACATATTTTATTTCGTGAAAAATTTCATAATTCAAAGACATCTGTTGGGGTTTGAAAAAATATTTTTCTGCTAGAAAAAAATTAGATTACTATAGGGTTTAACATAAGATATTTTTTTTTAAATCCAGGTTACTATTGGGCTCCACAAAACAATATTTTTTTAAAAACCCCTCCTCTATTGTGCCCTTTTAATTTTTTTCTTTAACCAGTAAGCGGAGGAAGGAAAGTTGGACGGGCGATTAGAGGTGAACATCACCATTTCCTTACACTGACATATTTTCCAAATAGTACTAATATTCAGTACAGCCCTCGTAATTACTTCACCGTGGGCTGTGTTGTGCTGTTCTGCTTACAATTGTGGCCTATAGATCGACTCAAAAGAAAAAAAAAAAAAAAAAATAAATAAATAAAATAAAATTTTCGGTCCAAAATTATAATCTGATCATCACCGAAAATTATAGGTGTTGTTCTTGACCATAACTGGAACCTCATGGAAAATTTCAAAGCGATCAACGCTATATTTCCGCCCTCTAGTGTATTAATGGGTTACTAAAATAATATCTGAGTACGTAAGCACCTGTAAATATTTAAGTCTATCTCCCACATCCGAGTACATACGATTATATAATTGATATGCTTATTCTTTGGCTCTATCTCTTTCTACATGTAAAATTTCGCGATGTTAGAGCCATTATTGTGACCACAGGAGCGACCAGAAAAACAAACGATAATTAAGTATTTGGTCCATTTCATGCCTTAAATATTAATAGATCTTTACCAAAAATAGGGGTTTTCATTGGCCTGAACCCATCCTACCTGCAAAATATCGTGAAGATTGGTCCATAACTGTGGTCTGTATAGTGTTTACAAATTAGATGGACTCAGCTAGTCGAGAAATGACTATCGGTATAATTAAATTTGGGTCTAGGACCAATATTTCGCGGCGTTACAAACTATTTGCTGCACAAAGCTATAATACCCTGACGATGTACTCTGTAGGGCAATAAACGCCTTTGCTCGTTCCATTAAAAAAATATGTTTTCCAAAATCCAAATATTTTTGGGCCTTGGAAAAATACACTACTAGGCTGGGTACTGAAAAATTATTCTATAAAAAATCCACACTCTTTTAGGCCCTGGATAAAATATTCTTTTCCAGGACCTTTGTCGGGTCCTGGAAAAATATTCTTTAAAAATTCAAGCCCTTTTTGGATCATGGAAAAAAATATATATATTTTTTTAAAATCGCACCTGTGTTAATTCCTTGAAATATTCCTTAAAAATCCACATCCATTTTGGGTCCTGGAAAGAATATTATTTGAAAAAATTACATCTTTTTTGGGTCTTGAAAATAATAATCGTTAAAAAGTTCACACCTTTTTTTTGGCC